TCTGGAGAAAATTACAAGCGGTAAATTCTTCTATTTTACGTTCTGTTGATCCTAATAAGGCTTGGATTGAAGTCGATGCAACGAGCATTGATATTAGTCCCTCATTTCTGAAGCCATATGTAGCAGTTTGGACAGCATTTCATTGAAAGAACAAAAGCACCCCTCAGGATTCGTAGCGTATTTATGCATGAAGCTACTCTAAACAAGGTTCTTGAGCAACATTTATGTAGGTAGCCCTAAATTTTGTGGGCAACATGCGGATTTGTTCAAAGAGAAACATCAAAAGCAACCGAACTTTATTGATAAATTTAAGAAATGTAGGCATGTGTAGGTGTTTTCATCGGAGCAAGTTCAGAAGGAAGTCTTCGTGGTCTCCTAACGTATTGCTAATGTCATTTCAATATCAATCAAATTGTTGGCACTCAGAACCTACTTATCAATTGCTGTAACTGGTTTAAAAGATTCAATATCTGTTACCACCATTTAGTATTAGAAACTATTTCTATTCTCTTCTTATGTGTTGCAGGTCACACAATTTCTTGGAGTTGAAAGAGAAAGCAACATAGTCTGAAAATTACAATCTCTTGAGGCCACCTCTTGGGAAGAAGCTGCAAAAGATCTTGGTAGCTAGACACGACTTGCTTCATTTAAATTTATATTTGAAAAAGAGAATGAATTCAAACACTTCCTTCAGAACAGTAAATCATGGACAGGTGTGCCAATGTATAAAAATCATATGAGAGCTATCTGAACATTTTATGAACTCTATCTTCTTGACTCTAGCTTCTTGTGTTTCTTTCTAATTACCACTCATGACAAGGGTACAATAGTTGGATGTAGTTGTGTTTCGATACATATGAAAGAGCAAAATCAAGCCCTTCCTCTTTCACCTTGGTTGCCTTCTATACGCCTGGATGCTCGGCTCTGTAAATTTTGGTGTTGTAGTGATTTTCAACACAATTACATCTGTTTTCAACACTTTTATATCTACTTTTTTCACCCAGATATAATGGATTGAAAAACAGATATAATGTGATAAAAATTGCTCGTGAAAAGTAAATATATTGTGTGAAAAATTGTACAGCATGGGATTACAACAAAGACTTGGGCTCTCCCTCTTTAAACGCCACCTTTTCTTCCTTCAACACAATGTGATAGATCTCACTTGTTTTTTTATATATGGACGTACATTCATGTATTTGTTTTTTTTTTTTTTTTCATTAGAATTATATTATTACAATTTGGACCCTTTACTTTCTGTGGATCGGTTTTCCAAGACAATGGCCCAACTGGTCCAACCAAGACAGCCCACTGAGAAAGAAGACCAGCAAATGTGACAAAGCCTTCTAATCTTTTCAAATGTGATGCTTATTTTCATTTACGTTATTGAAATGCTTTTAATGGTCTCAAGTTATTAATTGACCTTGATACAATTTGTCTATTTTTTTCCACGGAATTGAAAATGTATTGCGGCAGAAATAATTAATTTACGCCTGTTAATTATATATAGAGAACTGATATTTTGTTTACCGGTGAGTAAGAAATTTATTCAAACTATGCATGGTGACTGTTAGATGTGATTGTTATGTTATTTTGATAACTACATTTTTAACATCCAATAGTTATATCATGTATGGTGCTGATGAATTTCTTACTCACAGGTGAATAAGAGATCATTCCTCTATATATAGAATCTACGTAATTGTCGTTACAATGAAATAAGAAAATTGTGATTGTCATTCTCCAAATGTTTTGGCAATTATGTTCCAACCGGAATAAAAAGCAAATAAATTACCCTTTCTCATCTTATTGAGATTATGCCCACATGGGCATAGTAGCAGACAAGTCCTTAAGGTTTTACTTTCGAACCGCACTTCTGACGTAAATGGTGCGTATGTTGTAGGGTCGATACACTTGCTGGAAAGGAAAAAAAAAAAAATCTTATCAAGCAAATGTTTTGTTCCCTTAAAACCACTTAAACAATTCTTATTTTTGTATCTGAAAAAAATAAAAATAAAAAAATCGACCAACATTTTCACTTTTATATTAAGTACTGTATTTTTTTGTTCCCTAAAAACCACTCTGAAACACATTCTTATTTTTGTATCTGAAAATTTTGGATAAAAAAAAAAAAAAACCCACAGACCAACATTTTCACTTTTATATTAAGTACTACTATAGTAATCAAGACTCGACTTGTCAGATGGCGCCAAATTTATTATTTTCTTGTGAAGTTTTACCACAATTATTGTCATGGACTTCATGACTGTGTGAGACACCCGACTAGTCATGTGTTGCCAATTTTATTATTTCTCTTTGACGTTGTACTATAATTATTGTCATGTATTTCACGATTGTGTGAGACACCCGATTAATCATATGTTACCAATTTTATTATTATCCTTTAAAACTTTACCACAACTATTATCATGGATTTCACGACTGTACGAGACACCAACTAGTCGTGTGTCCCGCCAATTTTATTATTTCCCTTTAAAATTTTACCATTGCACTTGTTAATGAGTACAACGGTGTACCTATTGAACTCAAATCTACATTTCTAACCTTCATTAACTCACCTTATTTAAATATTTTGCTCCCAAAAACTTATGAGAGAAAGTACTGTGATACGTTGATCCAAATTCTCAATTTTATTCATTTGAAGTTTTATCATCCACCAATTAACCCACAACATGATGAGTTACGGATAACTCAAACCTAAATTTTTACCTTGTCAGCTCAACTTGTTTGGTATATTAGCGTACCGTGTCCATTAGCAAACTTGAAGAGAAGGCTACTTTGAAAACTTGACTAACCAAGATTTTATTTTCTACCTTTGCATCTTAACCATTGTTTGGTAGGGTGAAAATCTTGTGGGCGGGTGTGTTGTGGTTGGGTGCGAGACACTGACAGACTATCACACTTGACGAGTTACGGGGTGCACAATCCTGCATGATGAAGTGTTTATATGTGGTAGTGTTATCTCTAAATAATACGAGGCCTTTTAAGGTAAAATTTAATAGCAAAATTGTGCAAGTTCAGACTTAAATTGAACAATATCATACCACGTGAATGAAAAGACGAGGGAGAAATGTTTATACTTTTTATTCAAGGGTTTGTTGGTAAAACAATATCATTTTTCTGCCTTCCACCCAATTAAAGTTCTTGGTCATACACTAAAATGTGAATCCAGACGACGCAAGGGACTCCATGGCCCAATGGATAAGGCGCTGGTCTACGAAACCAGAGACTCTGGGTTCGATCCCCAGTGGAGTCGTACCAGTTATTTGATTTTTTATTTTTTTTTGGACTGAACAAATTGCACTTTATTATGTTGAATATTTTGACAATAGTCACAATACAATTTAGATATTAATTAAGAAAATAAGTTACATCTAAAAATGCCCAAAATTTAAAGTTTTAAAAAAAAAGAAATTCAAAATTTAATTCAAAAAATTGGGTTCTACAAATTATTTTGGTCCAAAAAAACATGCAACCCATATTAATGGATTGAACAAACTGCACTTAAAATTTCAAAACATATGGCTTTATCAACTCTACCCTCTTTCGTATGGCTTTAGATATGCAATACGCTTCATTATAATAATAAGAGTTACACAACCTCTCACCGAAAAAAAAAAAAAACATTAAAAAAAAAAATAGTAATTATTAGATTGAATGTTATGGATAAAATAATATGGGTATCAAGTTCCTTTTTATGGTTATCAAGTATTACTTGTTGAATTATTTGTATAATTACTTATAAAATTTATTTCAATTTCAATTTTAAAGTGTTGAATTGGACTTATTTGGCAACCGTTTTACTTGTGTTTTTGTGGTCAAACCACTAAAAAACATAAACAAATAATGAAATCATGTTGTTATAACATTTGCTACGTATTGCGGAGAATGACACATCTAGTCCAGAAAGGCCTAAATTTAAAAGTAAAAAAAAGAAAAAAAAAAAAGAAAAAGATGTTTTCATTATAATGTATATACCATATTTTCTTACCATCTTCAAATATTATTTTTTTTTAACAAAAAGCCAACATAGTGTAAATATATACTACATTTTTCTTACAATCATTTAAATATATATATTTTAAAATATAAATTTTGCAATAAATTAGTTACTGTACTAAATATGTTTAGGGGATGCTTTGTTCACTTATCCAAAAACAGTTCTCAATAGCTGAGGGGATGAAAATCTATTTTTAAAAAAATAAAAATAGTTTTGTTAACTAAAGTTTTTAAAAATAGCTTAAAAAATTGTCAATTAAATAGATATTTGACCAAAAAAAAAATTATTTTTCTATTATCAAAAAATAAAACTACAAAACTAAACCAAACAAGTCCAACCTTATATTTCGTAAAAAATAAAAAAAATTCAAGTTAGAAATAGTTGACAAATGAAACCTTGTTTTAGGCTTTTTTTGTTTTTGCCTAAAACATAAATAGTATTTTTGTTATAGGAGTATTTTAGAAAAAATTTGAGAGCGATATTTTGATGTGAAAATGTCAAAAACAAAAATATGAACCGTTATAGTTTTGGGCCATGAATAGTTATAAAAAAAAAATAAAAAAAAAAACTTTTGGGTATTTTGGTTTAGACCACTATTCACAAAGTATTTTAGCATTTTATAAAATAAAATAAAACTGTATTAAACATATTTTTATTATCAATATCAACACTATAACAACTCAAAAATAAATAAATAAAAAACAAAAACAAACGCATACTCATAGAAACCATTTCAACCACAAAAGGAAGAAATTTCAACTTGGACGGCCCGCCGACAAACGAAAGCGACCTCCAAAAAGACGAGCACCACAGAACCAGTCCCGAAATGAAACCCAAATGAAATTCAAATCTAGTCCTTTACCAATCACGTCTCAGCAATAGATCGTCCCTTCCTAACCACAACTTTAGATACGCTCTCTCACACGTGTCACACAATTTTTACTCTCTACTCCACTGATTCAAATACGATCTGTCATTCCATCCACGAGAAGCCACGTGGACACAGCCCTACACACCTCCCCTCTCTTTCTCTCTGTGGAAAACTCGGTAAAGTTGTTTTACAGAGAAAGTTTCTCTCTCATCTGGAGAAGTTTTGATGCGATAATCGCTGTGAAATTCGGCGATGGTTGGATCAATTCACGAGTGCTTAGTCGAATTGTGTTTTGTTGCGAAGATCTGTTGCCGTTTCTTTAGCTATGTTTGATTGGAACGACGAGGAGGTAAGCAATTTCCTTCTTTTTCTTTTTAATTTATTTCTTAGTCCTGTTTGGTTACTGGGAAACAAGTGGAAAAGAACACAGAAGAGTATAAAATTTTGAGTTGTTTCGTTTACTTGAAGATAATTTATTGTTATTTTTTATACAGTTCATTGGATAAGTTATGTGGTTTGTGTTTCAAGATTTTTCTTTTATTCTGCAATATTTTTCCAGCTACAAAGGGAGCACTCGATAAGTTAGTTTATGATTGAGATTTATAAAATTATTTATTTTTGTTTTTCTTCTTATATATCCTCAGTAACCACACATCGGGTATAATAAAATTCCAACTTTCCAAATCTTAGAGTTCACTTGCATCCTACATTTTCTTGGCGACCAAACAGGAGGGCCGGTTCTTGTAAGTTTCTGATAGTTAAAAACGTATGAAAAGCTTATATGTGCAGAAACAGAGCGTCGAATTTGAATTGGATTTCTGGTATCTCTGTTTATTTTATTTTTATTCAATAGTTCTTGGAGTTCTATTGTCTTGATTATTTAGGAATTTCAAAAGTTAATTATAGTTTAAAGTTCTCCATATTGCTTTTTATTGAAAAAGATATGTTATTGGGAATATTTATTTAGGACTTAATTAGGGGTGTTTTCCAAAAAAATAAAAATAAATAAATAAATAAATATAAATTCACAGTTCGATAGGTAGACTGTTTTGCTTCATGTCACCATGTGCTGGAGTTACGAGAGGTGGACGGTATTTTGATCTTGGTTTGAGGAATTGAATCATCAGTTAATTACCACTTTGCAAGTAGCAACTCAATTAATTGATATTTAAAAGTGGTCAATGTTTGTGTGTGTGAGCAAGGAGAGTTTTTAAGGAAGATTAGAATGTAAACAATATGTACTATAATATATGTGTGGGTGTATTAGGTGAATACTATAATTCACAAATGACGTCAGAAGCTAACAAGGTTTCTTGATGATGTATGCAACAAGATAAGACATAAATAAGGCTTGAGAGAGACATCTATGTTTTTTTATGTAATATTAGACTAGGGAAGAATTGCAGTAGTTTTAAGAAAAAAATACAATGGAGTGAACATGAGATTATTTAATATCAGGTAAGATTAAAGAATGACTTTACATGAGCTTTTGAGTTAACTTTTAAATATATATAACATTTATTTTTTACTTTTCTGTAAATTGTTAGGAATAAGAATCATGTGTTGGAAATATCATACTCAAAACTTTGGTTGTAATGCCTCAAAGTGTCATGAGGCTTATGAGTACAACTATTGAAGACATTGCAGACGAAGATTTGCAAAGAATACAGTGAGAAATTCACATCTTCAATCGCATATCTAGGACACAGGTAAATCAACCTTAGAAAGACTAAATAAATTAGTTTGATCTACAGGTGCCCAAAAAACTGTAAGAGTCGGTAAGCCGGTCTTGACCGAGCTGTACGGTTTGGTTTAGTTCTGTGATGGAATGGTTCAGTTCCGTATCTAAAAATTAAATAACTGTTGATAAAATTCGGTTTTGGTTTGGGATTGAACCAAACTATTAGAGATAACTTAATATATATATATATATGTTACATGAACTCTTCAAAAGTAAGTGAGTTACCAACACATATTACTTGGACTTAGGTATGGGATATGTGTCTGACACTTTTGGTTGGACATGCACCTAAATTTTTTTTTCAGTAATTCTTTTATTATATTATTATTTTTGAAAGAGTAAATGCCAATTTTGAATTCTATGTTACTGCTACATAAACATATTTTTTACTCTAAAAAAAATAAAAATATTAAATAAAATGAATATTTAGCAGTGTCTAGGTGTCCTTTTGTTTGGGAATTTGACATGTCCGACGCATGGATGCATACCCGTACCCGACACAATATCCGGGTCCATGTAACATAGATATTTATATTATTTATGTAATACAAATGATCGATTTTTGTTGGTAGACATGCAGATAATATAACTTACCATACGCTACAATACATAGTATAATCACACGCACACGCATATATAATTCTCAAATTTTGATTTTTCATTTGATTAATATGAATATATATATATATATATATATATATATATATATATATATAAAGTCCAAAACCGTAGAACCAAACCGATCATTTACCTGCCCGTTTTCCATTTAAAACTTTACCATACCAAGCCTATTAGGGGCAGGGTGTAAACCCACTGGGCCAGGACATTTTGTATGCCCAAAAATATATATCAAGCTCCAATACGGTCCCTCACATGTGATCATGTTTTGCATGTGGCAGGACAAACAAATGATACCAAGATCAGAACAAAAGCAGACTACCACATTGAACCGTGGAACAAATACAGAGATGGAGACTTGAACCCAACATCTGTCAAAACCAACACTCAGAACCATGTTAGAACATCAGTTTCCTCAAATATTTTAGCAGTTAGAGAATGAATCAAAAGAATGTATATCAAGCTCCAGTAGCCTCTCTCACGTGCAACTCTGTTTTTGCACATGGTGAGACAAGCTCACCAAACCAAAACCCAGACAAGGGCAAACTTGCATATCAAACCGGGGAACCAAATTAAGGTTAAAAACAAAAACCTGGGAACAAATGCAAAGATGAAGATTTGAACCAAGACCTCTCAGAATCAAAAGCTCAATACCCTTTTAAAATACCAATTCGCCCAAAAATTTCAGCTGTTGTAGAATGGGCTCAACAATTTACCTCAAGCTCCAAACATTCATGATAGTTATTTGGGTTCTCCAAACATTCATGGTGGTTCTTATGTTAGTTAGACTTGATTGATCTGTATTCTAAAATCAAAAGCTTACTTGGGGGAAATTTAAGTTTATTATTGTTTACATTATTATAACTAGTTCTTCTTCAAGCTACTGTTGCATGTGTTGTTCATGAAACTATAGTTGCATGTTATTGGGTTTTCTTTCTTTCAATGGTAACATCGTTCATGAAATGTCAGGAAGCTAATATGGATTTCATGATGTCTATGTTGCATGACCATGTTCAGCATTTGCTTGATTTAGAAGCTATGATTGATATTAGAGTTTACACTTCAATGAGAGGAAATTGTTGTCCCCTTGTTAGTTGTTCCTTGCTTGAGAAATGGTGGGATATTGGCTTGGGGAAGGACCTAAATTGTTGTCGCATTGTGCCATTATTACAATTATTTTGGGTATCTTGGTTAAAGAAATTATAGGGTGTTTCTGATGAGTGATGACAAAGAATTTTCTTATGAAGATATATGGGATATAGTTTATCTCCTTGTCTCTCTATTGTGTTTTACTTCAAAAGAGTTCAATGGTGGTCCCATCACTGTTATTTTGAGTGACTGGACCACATATGCAGATTGAACATAATTGATACCTATTAGAACCTGCCTCTGATACCTTAATAGACAACCAAGTCTATCGGAAGCTTAAGTTGTTATGTAGTGGGCCCAACTATATATACCAAGCTCTAACACCCTCTCTCTCTCTCTCTCACTCACACACACACACACACACACACCCCACACACAATGAAGCATGCACCCATGCATCACTCCAATTTGTAGTTGTTCTTTGATCCTATGGATTGACAATTGATTGAATTCACGTTGATTATAGTGTTGCAGTGCTTAACTCGTGTATTGATGATATTTGATTTTCTTTTTACTTTTTTCAGCTAGAAAATATAATATGGGGTGAGACTGGTGAGAGTGATGATCATATTGTGCCTTATCCCAAGGGCAATGAAGAGAAACCTCCAGGTTTATGTGGAGATCGAATTAAGGCGGAAGTGAATCAGGAAGCTGCTAGCATTATACCAACTGAGCAGAAGAAACGTATTGCTAAAACTGAATTGCATGGGGTTAAACTGGAGAGCAATTCCCAGTGTGACACAAATGAAGGAATTCCACCAGATGGATATGGCATTGACTCATGGCCTGCTTTATCTTTATCAAATGCTGCCAAAAGTGATAAGGATTCCATGGGTGCTGAAGTATCTAACAATTTAACTGAAATTGCCAAATATGATTCCTCAAGAGGTGGTGCACACATCAGTTAAAGGAAAAAAATTAGTCTAACTTAACTTTATTAGTTCTGATTGTGCAATTTTTTTTTTTTTTTGACAGACCGGGCAGCTCTAGCAGATAGTGGTTCTGAGGTATTCCAAAATCAGCATGAAGATAGAGAGCAAGGTGATTTTGTTGACTATGGCTGGGCTAATATTGGAAGCTTTGATGATCTTGATAGAATTTTCAGGTAATTTTAGTCTTCCTGATGAAACATCATCATGCCGGTATTCTGAGTTGGAACCCTTATATTCTTTCTTGATGCAACAATGTGCATCATTATATGCCACCAAACATAAGGGAAATCCTGAAAAACATGATTTAGGGAAATTATATGATTTTTTCTTCCTCAAACATGATATTGGTCCCACCTTCTGCTTAAAGAATGAACTTTAATTTGAATACGATCTCTGTCACCCTTTAAAGATGGGAAGTTGCTGAAACACAAATGACATTTTAAATATCTGATGATGTGTTTTTTTTTTTTTTTTTTTTTTTTTTTTTATCTTGGAAGGTAATCATTAGATATACAACAGCACCTTCTGCATAGAGGTTTCAGTAAAAAAAAAAAAATATACCAAATATTAAGATAATCTCAGTTCTGAAAAATGGATTGCATCATTCTCCCCTTTCATTTATAGATAGAACAGTTGTATCTGTTTCAGTTGAACAACGAGCATGATTGTGTGCTTCGGTGCATATTACCATTCAATACCAAGAAATATTTAATTAAGAACTAAAATTCCATTTTATTATCTTAATAATTTTACAGAAATGTCTCCTAAAATTTAGTTTTAGTTATTTCTATCCTTTTTAATTTTTAAATACCATTTGTGACTAATGTAACAGTTCTACCTGCACCTATCTGACTCAATATCCTCACAAGTGATATTTTGCAGCAACGATGACTCAATGTTTGGACATGTAAGCCTTGCTAATGCAGATGAGCTATGGTCGTCTTCCAATGATGTAACTAGTACCCAAGAGAAGTCTTTTCCCTTGTCTATGGACTCTCCAAATTTGGGGTCAGGAGCATTGAACAGAACAACCGAGAATTTTGAAATTAAAACAGAACATATGCTGTATCCAGACCAGTCATTTACCCCAGCTTATGAGAAAATAAATCACCCCACTTCTCATCCTCAACAGAATGGACAGGCAAACATGAGTCACATAGAATATACTGGAAGTGAAAGCAAGACCTTGAAGAAGGAGAAGGTAGTAACTGTTGATGTGGTGTAATTTGTTTAATATATGTTTTATGGGATAATATATGCTGTCAAATTGTCCCAGTCATAGTCTTATCTTTCATTTGAATGAGTTCAATGAAGAAAGCATTTACTTGTTTGTTGGCTTTCACACAGACAGATTTGGATATGGTTGGGGATACCTCAGAATTTGTCAACTCTCATCTCGATGCTGTTGGAACTTCAAATGATTTTGTGGACAAGGTAATCGTTTTTATCTTCTGTTTCAGAAAAAAGAAACTGACTTTTAATTCCTTAATCAACAGCTTCTAGTTTTTCAGGTCTGAGTTAAAATTTTGGACTCATTCAATGATCAGCTAGGTCTGGGCGCACAAACAAACAAATAAATAAATAAAAAGAAGAATAATGCAGGCCCAAATATGATCTACGCTAAATTAGCGTACTTTTATGCATATATAAGTTCCATACTATCTAAGAGTAACATTGATATATTTTGCAGCATTGATTTTGACTTCCATTGTACATGCATGAAAATCATCTCTTAGTTATGGATGATTCTCTCTTTAATGCCCAAAATCAAATAATCTGTTGTGGCCTTAGGGCTCAACATTTGATAGGCTTGTTGCAGACACTTGTTGTAATAGAAACAAGCGTCGTTGGAAAAAGTGGGGCTAGAAACAAGGATCTTTCATGCTAACATGTGCACACGGATTACTTATCAAAAAAAAAAGAAAAAAAAAAAAGAAAAGAAAAAAACATGCTCACACGTATTATTGATGTAAAAATCTTTTTTCCTTTCGTTTTCTTTATGCTTTATGAAATACCATTCCTTCAAACTTGTTAAATATATTGTACTTCCAAAGATAAAAAGCTTGTCCTTTTTTAGTGAAAACTGTGAAGCCAAAGTGTATGAAAAAAAAAAAAAAAAAGTCTAATGCAACTATTACTGAAAGACTGTGCAAGGCTTTTGTGGGGATAATAATATAAAAAGCAGGTTAGTATAAACAATTACCACATTTTCTTCTTTCTACATTCTTTGGCACAAACTGTGTTTGAGGTGATCCTAACTTTAAGAGTTGTACTAGATGGAGTTTCAACCTCAGAAGCATGGACACTTTTAAAAGGAATCATGTGCATGCCTAGAAGGTGTTGAACGCTGACATTTCTCAGGTTTCTTCGATAGTGACTTGTTCATGATCTAAAAATTAAAATTTTGAGTTTTAAGCAGGCAAACACTCGTCAGCATGTGATTGACAAATTTTGGACCCTTGAAATGTGATTTCTCTTGGCATGGAAACACTATAACTGGAAAGAAGGCTCAAACTAAAGGTTTATGCAACCATATTAAAGAGTTTGACCATCTTTGCAGATTGGTCATTCGAGTATTCTAGGCGCAAAACAATTTAACTTGAAATAATTTTAGTTTTTTCCTTCTTCTAGCCTTTCCTTTATATGGAGTATGTCACTTCCTTCTCACAAGTAAAGTTACTGGTATTTGTTTCTCATTACTAAACCATCTTCATTGGCTTTCTCTCTTGTATATCAGACTTATCAGATGACTACACTTTCATTGTCTCGTAATCATTCCTAATCTTTTTTTTTTTCTCTTATCAATATATCCATATCACATCCGCATTTCAGTCATACTTATTTATAAACATGCTGTTTGTAATTACTTAGCAGCTTTTTCCAAATACCATGGTTGGTCTAAAAGCTGTTTTATTGATTCTACTTTTTTTGTTTTGGAGGTATATGTCGATTACACAATATGCTAGAAGCACTCCACTTAACTCATCATGTGTTGTTTAATTACATCATATCGAATTTCTTCCTCCTTGTGAGTGGTTGAGCTTGTCTATCAAAAATCTTCACTTTTTGGCATTTCTTAACCCTCAATCTTCAATATATCCATATTCATATTCCTAGTTTTGTTCCTAGTCTTGTTCCTAGTTTTGCTAAATCCTCACGACTGTAGAGCTTCTCTCTAAAACATCTAATTTAGATTATATCGGAATGTGGAATCTTGTCTTGAATGTTTAATGCAAAAAAATTATAGACTTAACATTGATCCCTAACGTGGGTGTACACCAATAGAAACTTCAATTGTGTATCTTACTGTTATTCTTATTATGGTCCAAGCTCTATCAAGTATGCCACATATCATATCAATATTTGTTCATGACTCGTTTCATTTTTAAACCTTCCTTATTATATTTTTATCCTTTCAAACAATTCCATAAGGATCATATGAAGATCTTTTTTCTTCCATTTTTGCCATTTTGTCACTCTCTGTCCAGTAGATAGCTTCCATCATTGATCTGCTGACAGAAACTCAGATTGATTTTTATATATTGTTATTTGAAGTCTTAATTGACTTGGCAAGTCTCCTGCAGAATTTGATATTATGACCTATTAATTTTGTACCACTTTTTATCTGTACAACTTTTAATTTTTCTTTCTCTTTACTTCTTCACCACTCATGAAACATTGTTTTTTAATATTTGTTAGTTAAGATATGTCATCATCCCTAAACTTGTTCAAACATCAAAGGAATACTAGGCGTAACCCCTTCTTAATCAAGATATGTCATCATCCCTAACTAATTTACAATCTCTTTTTTTAAATCCCTTTCTCTCTCTCTCTCTTACATATCTAAAACATTTGTTAAAGGGTCAAGCTCTCTTGTAGAATGACCTTACCAGCCTTTACGCTTCAATCATTCTACTCATCTAATTAAGAAAGAATATCTGACTTCTGTTTGGTTCGTTCTTTAAAGGTTATTAGATGTTATTCATTATTTTTTCTCTTATAAATAATATTTGTTATAAGATCATATGCAACTGCGAAGTCTATGATAGCATCCATGGTATCCCTTTTATCTCCAAATCCTTATCTACCATCCACTACCTCATATGGTTCATGTTTTCTTTTTCTGTGTTACCGTTAAAATCTCCACCTGGAAATATTTCTTTTCTTCAGTGTGTACCTTGAATTAATTCATCTATACGGTTCCAAAACTGTGTCTTAATGCATTTGTCTAGTTCTACTTGGAGTATTTAACCGTAGCTATTTATTTTTACTATTATTTTCTTCCAGTATAATTTCGATATTTGTCACATTTTTTAGAAGCAATTACAGCTTTTCCTTTTAAATTTTATCTATTTTTATCCCCACTCATTTTCTGTTTTTATTTTTGTACAAGTTTATATTCAATATTTTCAATTTCTTTTTCTTTCTTACCAGGTTAGTTTGTTGGGGCATGTTATATTAACCATCATTTCACTCATGTGTCTACATACTCCTTCCTTTTACTTGTCATTGTCCCTATAATCTGGATCAAGCCTATTATGTTAAACTAGTTTCTTTATCTGTGTATCTCCAGAATAGGGATATCAATAGAACAGATTTGGGAAGGGGAATCCTCTTCCCATGAACACCCTGGAAAAGGAAAACGATTTTCAAAAAATCATCCCAAAGTCAAGGGTGGGGCAACATACAATGGAAGGTGTTTTTTTTTTTTTTTTTTTTTTTTTTTTTTGGGACAGTTGGAAATACCATCAGGTTGCAAATCTTTCACAATTTTTAGTATACACTGTGACATACAAAAGCAAAGGAATGGCATATTGTTATCAGTCCAAACATTGAAATCTACCACAACAATGATTTTTTTTTTTTTTTAAATGTTAACTGTAATCCATAGTATTTGACACTAAAAGGCTTTGTTCATGTGGAACGTTACATTTACTATTAATGATCATGCAATTTAAGGACCTCATACTATCTTATATTTTGTCCCACAAACCCACCCCTTCCATGATGTAGAGTCTCCCATTCAGGCGGGCAGGTTGCTCAGTTTTTATCAAATTGACATCCTAAGTTCAGAATAGTGTATGAATCTGTGCACTTTTACCAAACCCCTCCCTCTTTTCCTTTACATGCCAATACACATCTCATGAATATTCAGGAACCCTGGAGATTTTGTAACTGCCTATGAAATAGTTACTTATTAGCTATCAACAACTGGGCATCAATTTGTTGTCAAATTAATACATTGAACTTTTCTTTCACTAGAACTTTGGAGAAAACCTAGCAGTCCTTTTAAGAGTCCTTCCTTTTTGTGTATGTAAAAGTCAAAGTGTTGCTCTAGTTGTTTTCATATGTGCAGGTGAACAGACAAAAGAAATTGCTGAAAGGCCGGAAAAAATCAGTTGAAAAAAGTGGAAGGAGACAATTAGAGGATGTGTGTACTACCTGCTCTCCATCTGGAAACCAATTCCAACAATTTGATGGACAATTTCAGTCGCCAATGGACCAAATTTGTCCATCTCCAGTGCTCCACCAGCAAAGGCAGCTTCAAGGACCTGAGTCTCTGCAGTACCATCATTTCTCCAACACACTTTTAGCCCCTTCTATGTACAGGAATATGACAAATCAGTATCCTGCCATGCCATTACTACCACATATTCATTCTGAGGAAGATGATCGTCAAGTGGTGCTTCCAGGATGTAAAATTTCACCTGGTAAAGAAAATATTTTAAAGAAATCACCAGACGCTGCTGTGAAGCCTCTGATGATGACACCTCAGGAAAAAATTGAAAAATTAAGGCGACGACAGCAAATGCGAGCAATGCTTGCAATTCAGAAACAACAGCAGCAATTAACTCATAAAGTTTCTTGTATTAATAATGCTGTCACCCAAAAAAGTTTGATAGAAAACCAAACGCAGCTTATTGAAGGAGGGACCATTGAAGTTGAAGAAAATCTAGCCACTCTTCCTCCTCTTGACCAGAACTCGCTTGTAGAACAGGATGATTTCAATACAAACTCCATGGCAATTGATGATTGTTCAGTGGAAGACACAATACTTTATCAACTGCAGGATGTCATTGCAAAGGTTTATTATACTTCCAGGTTGAATTTTTTCCCAGTGGATTATTAAGTAGATTAAATCATAATTCCAGTGAATATTCTCTTGCAGTTGGACATCAGAATAAGACTTTGCATACGGGATAGCTTGTTTAGATTGGCTCAAAGTGCAATGCAAAGGCATTATGCTACTGATACAGGCAGCACCAACAAAAGTAGCAGAGATGAAGCTCTAACAAAAGAAGAAATAACTAGTCATAACAGGTATGAAACTAAATGATGTTATCATTATATTTATATCTAAAAGTTCACCCAAAAAGGTCATTATAACCTGTCTTGAGTTTTTGTTGTTTAAAAGTTGTTTCCGAGTTAGACAATTAGAAATTCACCTATAGAGTCAAATATAACGAGTTAAGAAAATTTTGTGTTGGTTTTAACTGATGATTGGACTGTCAGAATCATTTTAGTGTCGATCAAACAAGAATAAAGTTTGCATTAGAAAAACTTACTACTATAAGGAATTGAGTTTTTAATTTTTGCTCATTCACAAATTTGATCATTGTATGGAGAAAAGTCCAACTTGAAAAATAAAATCAACATTTAAGTTGTGATCGTTGTTCGGTCAACTAAAAACTAGATTGAGAATGAAACATCTGAGAGGGAGAACTTTGGCTAGAATTGCTCCTCCTTTTTCATATTAGTACTTATAAAGGGTTATTCCTCCACTTCTTCTTCTATTGATCATCACTCCACCTCAAGATGGAGTGTAGCTATCAATCGTCCAAGTTGTTACATAGCTCAGAAAACATCCTTTGTCTAATATAAATATTCGCAACACCAATTCATCTTGTAAATTGACATGACTTTGGTAATCTGTTTATCACCACTGATCACATCTTTAACAAAGTAACTGTCCACTTCTGCATGTATTTCTTATCATGAAGTACTGGATTGGTAACAAACTGTAGATGTGGAATGTGGCTTGATTATCAGAAAACATCCACATTGGCTTAGCAGCAGTAAACCCACTTACTGTGTAATAGATTTGGCCCACATCATCACATGTTGCACGATCATCTCACGTGTTGGACGAGCCATGGATCCATACTCATTCTCTGTACTTGATCTAGCCAAGCCACAATATTTTGCTTCTCATTACTCATAATTAGGTTCTCAGCAACAAAAAATACAGAAACCAGAAAACCACCTCCTATTTATATGATCTCCTGCCTAATGTGTCTCAGAAAATCATACAACATTTAGGTAGTTAGGAGGCCTAAACCATGGACCCCAATAAGATTTCATCAGTTGTGGAAAGTTTCTCTCTGCAGGTTTTCTTTCATTCTGCTTGAATTGACTACAAACCTTTACAAGTATATAAAGCTTTCTCACTGGCTAGATCACTAAGTAACAGACTTTATCTTTCTAGAACTTTGTATATCGATTGGTATATCAACTACAAGGTTGGATATCAGACACTTATCTCTTGTGCAAACCACTATGCCCTAGAAGTACCTTAGTTGACAAACAGCCTTCATATATTAAGAAGGATTTAAGAATTTCTAATATGAAACAGTTGAGAAAACACTTTGTTCAGTTGAGTAGTACCAACTTTATTGCCGTCAGTAACTATTATACCATCAATCTACACTGCAAGCATAATTTTACAACCTTGACTACTGAAAAACAACAGGAATCTGACTGTATTATTTCATAAGCAACAATTACAACATTAACTTATCAAGCCATGTCATGCAACATTGTTTAGAATTTTAATAGCCTTTTTAAACCTGCACACCCCCTCATGTAACACACCCAGAAGGTTGCTCCATGTACATGTTTTCTTGGATAACATCATTCACAAAGTGTTTTCTTATCATGTCGGTAAAGAGGTAGACCTTTTATAGGAAACGTAAAGAATTAAGATCGGTTACGGGTGAAAATGTCTCAAAATGATCATTCTCAAAGGTTTTGAATGCATCACCAGTTCACGATTAATTGAGCCTTCAGTCGCACAGTTCCATCAAGCTGGTAATGCATAGTATAAACCCAATGACACCTGCAGCCTACTTTCCTGGATGAAAAAAATTGAGCCCTTGTAGACCGTTTTGATGCGAGGCTAAGTTCTCCTGAGTAATCACAAAAACACACAACAGTACCTACATCCACAGATTAGAAGTGGTAATCCATACGGAAAAAAAGAAGAGAGAGAGCGAAAAAGAAAAAGAAAAATGAAAAGAAAGGAAATAGGAATAAAAGAAGAGGACATGGAATTTGGATAACAGTGATCATATCTTTAATGTTTGAAGCAGTATAAAGGACAGCACTAATAAAAAGGGGAGCAAGCAGTTTCTTCCCAATGAGGAAGGATGACTTTCAAGCCCCTTGTGACTGAGGTAGGTCACGGTCACTGTTTGACCCCCTTAGCGTGTCCATTGATTACCTCAACTATTGGCATATGCCAAGGTTGTTACAAATGCATTAGTGGAATGTGAAAGAGGTAGAGCTCCCCCAGAGATACTACCTGTGTGCTGTCCTATTCCTCTTCCAGTCTCTCTCTCACAAAAAGGCACTCGTCATTATATCACAAACTCACAATGAATCACTTCTCTCCCACACCTACAAAATTCTTCGACCCACAACTTCATATAAAATTTACTATACCAGGACTCCTGCTCTGTGTACCCCATAGTCAATATCCTAGCCCTTCTCGTACATGTCTACAAGACACTGAAGCATCACACTTCCCTATTTGCCATAGGAGTCCTTCAAATTCTATCAACCATCTCTATGAGGTAGAGCCAAGAAGATCTTCATATATCCAACCTTCTCATAACACTACATCCCTCTTGTTTTCACAAGTCTCCAATGGCCTAGGTGTCTATTTATGACGATCCATTGCAACTGTCGAGACTTTTTATTTTGTTTTTATGGGTTTTGTTTAGATAGAATCGGGACTCCCAAGATGAACTCTTGGCTCCACTACTACTTATTGGGTCAAGGGGAGGACATGGAACAGAGATCCAATCACAGTAATAAGCAATCACAGAGAAAACAGAAGTTGACACAACCTGCTTTACATCTGGGGATTAAGTAGCACATACATAAACTTGATTTAATGTGCATACAAACATTTATTTTACATAAATTACTGCTGGTACTCTCGTATTATATATATATATATATATATATATATATATATATATATATATATATATATATAATTCTAATTATGTTATTATCCTATATAAAAAAGTGTGCTTACATGCTTGACATTTAGTGATTGTGATTATAATTTCAAATTTTCTTAAAGAAAAGGTTTTGCACTCTAAATTTGTTCATCTTGATTCTAAGATTGTTGTAGATGACTCATTTCATGTTGCCCCTGTTTCAGAATGCCTGATGTGGAAACAGAGACCAATCCCATAGACCGAACCATAGCTCGTTTGCTCTTTCATAGACCTCTGGACCTGTCAAGAAAACATCCTGAGACACCAGAGTCACCTGTATCTACCAAGCCCCAATGCGAAAGGAAACCAATCAGTTTAACGAGCATGCCAATGGGGTTCTTCCCTGAGGGTTCTAGAAATAAGCAAAATTTATCTCACCAGGGATCTATTCCTTGCTCATTTGCTGAAGAGGATAAGTCTAAAAACAGTCCCTGCATAGACAGTTCCGAGAATGCATCCAACAGTTGCCCAGCTGATGGTGGGGCTATGGAGGTTGATGCATCTCATTGAATAAAGCTGTGTTGTTTCAAAAACTACAAAAAGGGGTAATTTCTTTATCTCTTCTACGCACTTTGGTTTGCATTTCATGAAAAATTCTAGTGATTCACTCTGGAAATGAGGATTTTTTTTTTGGTTTCATTGTTCAGCCTTTCGATCCCTGTCAATCAGTGGTCGTGGAAGCTCAAAATCGGTACCATTGGGGCATCTTTATCTCTTTATATGCAAAATATTGCATGCATGCACAGTTGAAACATTGCAGTTAAATGTATTTATGCATTTTGATCTCTAGTTAACTTTCTACATCCTTAATGAACTCTCTCTCTGTGACGACTTCTGTATGTGTTTTCACGCGTGGTTGCTTTGTTGAAGGTCTGTAAGCTTGAAGGTATTTAACTTCCAACTTAAATAAGTTAAGACCTTACATATGTAATAATTATGCAAGCTCCTATATTTATAGCTGTTTTGTTTGTTTTTCAATTTCTGCAAGTTGAAACTTATTATTGTTTACGCGCATTAGGGCATGATGAATAATTATTTTAAGGGTTTGGATTCAACATGATTGGGCTAGCATGCATGAGAGAACTTGTTAGTCAAAGAAATGTGTCATCTATTTTTTTGCAACACCGAAATTGGAAACCTAGGGGGGTATTACAAGAACATGCTTTGTTCAGCTGAAGTTTACGAATAGGTGTGGAATTTTTAATAACGATAAAGAGTAAAAAGGTAAAAGCACACTCTTAAAGCTATTCCAATATAATACTTTTATTTTATTTATTTATTTTAAAGGGACAAATAAGCTTGTTAGTGAACTGTAACAAGCATAAAGCTTTATTGGTATGTTCACCCAATTAGAATACATTGTTCAGTTGATGAATTATTATTATTTATTTATTTGAGTGGAATTCTTTTTATTGAATGGTGTTGCCCGATTGAGTGGGGGCATGGCATGCCTCTACTCACCAACATCTATTCAATGACATGGACGCACGAAGTTACCCAGGCTCGTATACCCAATGTTCATATGTGTGCAAAATATGTTTGTTAATCTACACGCCATTTACTGTGGAGAGAGCTTCAGGCACGGGTCAAATATGGCAATCATCGTTTGGTTTGTCTCACATGATCCAAATAATAAGAGGGAAATATCCATTTTTATTTCAAAAATAATAATTTGTGGGTTAACTTCGACATTTATCAAATTTATGCTGAATTATTCATGCCAAATTTAATTTATGTGAGTAGGGTGGTAGACTCTCCCCCATCACATACAGAACTGCTCTTATTTCACTGTGATGCCAATGCTTTGCCTAGTGGAGCATTTGCAATTTTTCCTTAAAATGTTATTTTTGACGGACAGATATATATCAACAAAAACCCGACTTTCACGTGACAACAAACTATTTGCACACAACACACTCTCCCTTTCTCTGCGCACAACCTTTCCCTCTCACCCCTCTGCAAAACCCGCCCCTCTTTCTTCACGTGTTTTCCGGCAACGACAGTGGACTGAAACAATGCTATTAAACTATGATGAGGTCGGCGATGAACTGAACTTCGAGAAAGGAGTCCGGCAAAGGCAAGGAGGAACTGCACTGGCGACTCAAGGACGCAATTTCGACGTCAGAATGGCGTGACTAAACTGCAGTGAGAATGAACGTTGGTAACGGGATATTCTTACCGGCGGGCAGCGGGTCTGAACGACAGCAAACAAAGTGTTCTTATCTGTGTTGGTTCGATGCCGTTGAGCAGGTACGATTTGAACTGAACTTTCCGTGACCAGCGCACCGGCATTCAAAACTTTCGGTGCAACGCTTTCGCCGGAAGCACAGTACGTTAATTTTGAAAACTCTTGTGATATCATCGGATTCGTAATCGGATTCCAACCAGAAATCAGCTCGAATCCGTGGCTGACATTCCGTCAATCTCTTCCGCTCCTGGTGAATCTCCATCACCGATTGCTTTCGTGAAAAATAATTGAAGCCGGTGAAAAAAATAAAAATAAAAAGAGTAATTTTATGAGTCGGATTTTATTGTTTTCTAGTTGGGCATAATAGCAACACTCTTGCCCTTATTATCTATATTTACTCAGTTTTTATAGTCATACATTGATGCGATTTACTTGGTGATTAAGAAAATTTCCAATCCATCGATAAATTCCCCTTTTGATGGATTGGTTGATTTAACCTGCAACCCAATCTCATAAGTAATCTAATTAAGTTTACAATTGTTGTTTAAGTTGGGAAATAACTCCACCTTGATGAGGACCCACAAGTATAGAAGGAGTGGTAATAAAGAAAAATAAGTACAAATTCAATAGGCTAAACACGCTTACATCCACAAAAAAAAGTCAAATTTCACTGGTGATTGTGAACCCTACAAATATAGAGGATGCACAAAATTTACTCACAATCTTCAACCGTACCCAATCACTAATAAAGAAATACATTTAGTTCTCTCACACCAAGTGCCCTTCCGTATACAAAGAAAGTAAACCTCTTCCAACAAGAGTTATTTCCACCCACACTTTGAATGCTCTCACTTGTAGCCTTCAACTTCTCCTCTCTATTTATAGGACAATGTATGTCTTTACTAACCATAGCAAGTAACCTTGTTACGCAACTCTTAATTTAGATTGCAACCCCAAAATGTGCATAAATTGGTACCAATTAACCATCACTTCTAAATATATTGGGAGAGTGAGCATATGTCATTTATCTCTCAAGAACACTAATTAATTTGGGAGTAGTTATCTCTCACACACATCACAACCTGAAATCATGTATGCAATAAGCTTGCTATCTAGGCTCGTGCAAAGTCAGAGCCGAATTCACTTTAGTGTATCCAAGAAATAATTCCGAAACAGGCAAGGAACGAGTCCAATCGGGCAGGGAAACGGAAGAAAGAGCGCAATGAAGCAAGATATAGTCGCACAACCAATTCAAACCTCATTTCTAGGATTTCGAATAGGAATTACCATTTCTCAACAATGTCGAAGAGCAGCACAGGAGTCATAACCTGCAAAGCAGCCTTGTGCAGAGGAATGGGCGAGCCAATAAAGTTAGAAGAGATAGAGATACAGCCACCAAAAGCTTCAGAAGTTAGAGTAAAGATGCTATACGCCAGCCTCTGTCACACAGACATTCTGTGTGCCAACGGATACCCAATCCCGGTGTACCCTAGAGCGCTAGGACACGAAAGTGTTGGCGTGGTGGAGCGTGTTGGCGATGGAGTAACCGAGCTCAAAGAGGGGGACCTCGTCATCCCAACCTTCCTGGGAGAATGCGGGGAGTGTGGGAATTGCAGGTCAGGAGTGACTAATGTGTGCACAACATACCCTTGGCCTGCCACAGGCCTAATGCCCGACAACACGTCAAGAATGTCTGTCGGAGGGCAAAAGCTCTACCACCTCTTTAGCTGCTCCACATGGTCAGAGTACGCAGTTATTGACATCAACTATGTCGTCAAGATTAATTCGAGCATGCCTCTAACACACGCTAGCTTAATCTCCTGCGGATTCACAACCGGATTGGGAGGGCCTTGGAAGCAATGCAGGGTCGAAAAGGGCTCAACGGTGGCTGTGTTTGGGCTTGGCGCTGTGGGACTAGGCGCGTTGGAAGGGGCTCGAATGCAAGGAGCAGCAAGAATCATTGGCATTGATAAAAATGAGAAAAGAGCTGAGAAAGGCCGAGTTTTCGGGATGACTGATTTCATCAACCCGACTAAATATGATAAATCTGTTTCGGGAGTGATAAGAGACATGACGGAGGGAATGGGGGTGGATTATTGCATCGAGTGCACCGGAGTTGTGCCGGAGGTGAAAGAGGCTCTTGAAGCGGTTAAGACTGGGAGAGGAACAATGGTGGCAATTGGTGCAGGGAATGATGATATGCAGCTACCTTTTCCTAGCTTGTTGCTTGGTAGGACCGTGAAGGGTTCCATTTTTGGAGGGGTAAAAACTAAGTCTGATTTACCAGTTATAGCTGACAAATGTGTAAATAAGGAGATCAAATTGGATGAGCTTTTGACTCATGAAATCTCTCTGGACGAAGTAGGCAGAGCATCTGAGCTGTTGATGCAACCGGATTGTATCAAAGTAATAATCAAGATCTGAGTGTTTTTAGCAATAATTATTAAAGATTGTATTGTATATGAATGCAATTAAAACATTTTCACAAAAGATGAAGAACAAAAAAAAAAAAAAAAAAAAAAAAAAAAAATGATGTTAGCAAAATATTTGGTGGGTGCAATAATTGTATAAATGACCAAATTGATTAAGCATCTTCGGCTTAGTGGATTTGGATCTCTCCAACGTTAGAGAGGGTTGTGTAGTTCATCAAGAGTGGAGATTGCATTATCAGGTTATGAGAGTTGACCATTTAGGTTTTACCTGGTGGTTTAATCTTTGCCCTAGATGAAATAAAGGTCTCCCTCAATGAAGATGATCGATCGTTCATTGAAAATTAAAGAAGGTAATAATATCCAATAAACATTAAAGTAGAAGGTTTAATTATGTTGTCCATTAAGAATTTTATGATGTTAGGGAGAAACAGATAAAAATATAGAGAGCTTAATGAGGATAGAGATTTTGAGGTTTAGTAAAAAATTTTAAGTTCCGGAATAGGTTATTGTTGAATGTTGATCATTTGTCTTTTTTATCATATGGCCAATTGGGTCACTTGTAAGACCTGCCAACAATTTTGAGATTAAAAATATACATTGTTGAAGTGAATAATTTCTTCTTTTTTTTTAAGAAAATTTTTATTTCATAGACATTGGTTGTTGAGATTTTTTCAAAATTGATTAAAATTAACATTTTTAATGACTATTGTAATCAAGATATAGAGGGGTGCTAGGTTGCAAAAAGCATCCGGAATCATTAGAAGAACGATAAAAATTATGAAAATTGTATTTTGTACATGTGTATATAGTATCACTTACAAGTTCGGCTGAAGGCATAATAAAAAAAAATAATAATAATAATAAATAAAAAAAAGTAATGAAGGAAAATGACATATTGTGCTTGGTAAGAAAGAAAATGGAAGAAAACATATCATGATGAGTAGATTCTATTTTCCTTCCGGTAATTGGAAGAAATGGAATGAAGAGGTTTCAAGGTTTAATTAAAAAAAAAAAAATCAATATTAATTTTACCTTTATTTTATAAAAGACAAAAATAAAATAACATTTGAGTCTTATTAGTACATGTTTTATTCTCTTTTAATCCTTTCTTTATTTTTAAATTATCACTTTAGTTTAAATGATGTTTAAGCACAATCTTTACATTTTTTTATTTTATCACTTCTTACGTATATGTTTTTTTATCTTCCAAAACTAACTTTTCTTTCTTTCTTTCCAAACATGATTAATTGGTAAAACTGTCATTCTTTTTATCTCATTAATCAATAATATGGTGAGAAATTAACACTAGCTTTGGTTTGTGGCTATCTACTGTCATTTTATTTTATTTTATTTTTTCTTTTCTATCGGAATGTGTTTTTTTTTCTTCATCAGCATAATTTTGAAGTTGAATAATGTGATCGATTGATTGTTCTTGCAAATATATATATGTGTGTGTGTGTGTTGGGGGGGTGGGGGGGCGCGCGCCCGCGTGATTGTTCCACCAATCAAAACGTCCCAGCTCCATCTCGATACCAACGAACCATCAATTTACGATCACTCTCAGCCCTCAACCTCCACAACTTGTTCGCCGGCGGCAACCAAGATGAGGCCAAATGCCGGCGGCAACTTCATCGACAGCCCTCATGTTAGGCTCACGACGGCGGTGTTGGCGGCGGAATAGACGCCGTAGGGCGGCCTTGATCTGGACAGCGCAAACCAAATCATCAGATCTATGTGTTCGACTCTGTAACAACAGATAAGATCAATTGCTTTCTCTAAACTAGGGTTTTTCTTTGCATTGATAGTTTTTGCTGTTTGTTTGGTGAGAAAGGAGTAGAGGAAACTAAATGGAGGTTTTTCTCGGTGAGAACTTTGGGTAAGAGCTGAATCTGAGTTTTTCTGTTGCTTTTTCTCTTCCTTTGTGCTCTGACCGCCATCGTTCACCGGATTGTCTCCGACAGCCATTGATGGCTGTTATCAATGTCTATATGTTTGCAGTGGCAACAATTAGATTTTGGGCTCTGTTTGTTCATTGGTTCTGGGCTTAAGTCAGCTTATTTGGTCCATCTATATTTGGGCTTTATTTGATTTGAGGCCTACATATCTTTTTCATTTACTATTCCTTGTTTACTATATATATATATATATTATTTTTTTTCTTCTCATTATTCTTTCGTCTTGATAGCCATTCATCCTCGTCTCTAGACACGGAAACTAAATCATATACAAATATTTTTATTTATATATTCATATGTGTATATATGTTAATTTTATATAAATGTGTATGTCTATATAAGTGCATGTGTTGGTATATATATTCATATAACTAATTAATCATTTTTAATTGAATTCCAAATCAGAATTTATCCAAACAATAAAATTGGTATTGGAATTCAATCCGAAGTTTATCGAAACAATAGATTTGGAATTGAATTGGTGGGATTAGTGGATTACAATGCAATTTTAATTCCACACAAACATAGTCATAATATATTTCTCATAATCATGCGTGGATCTACAGTAAGCCCAGTGTGGGTAATTGACCCACTGAAATTGTCTATTTTTTTGTATTTTACACCCTATTATTTTTATTTTTTTTGACCTATGTTCCTATGACATTTTCAAATTGCCCCCATTGAAATTATAAGAAAAACCCACTATTGCCCCCAATTTCATGATTTAAAAGTATTTATGTTGTTATTATTAAATGCGGCCCTCTAACATAATTTTCTAGGTCCATCGCTACTCATAATCATGATCAATGACCATGAGCTACTCTGCCAGGATGTAATGCCATACATAATACAACGGGATTCACAGTGTTTGGAAAAGGAAGAGTAAGAGACACAATAAGTAGGAATAAGTATTTTTTTATTTTTCTCTTTTTGAGAAGGAATAGTGAAAGTAATCGAATTTTAAAATTGGAGCACTGAAGGCTGCTTTTCAACTTTTGGTTAAACAAGACTCACAACGACTCCAATTGAAACTTTTATAACCTTTACCAGTTAGGTAATGAATTTTTTATTATTTTGTCATGCATTACCTAGTAGTGGTCCATTATTGACGAATTTTGAATAAATCTCTCAACAATTCTGACCCTACTTAGTGCTTCGCTCTGCTTTTTCCAATCACTAACCAACCTTTTCTTTTGTTTTTTTAGCTTTTGAAATTATTTGGAGAGTGCACATGGTCTGTTTTTTTTCAATTGTCTTATATATATATATATATATATATATATATATATGTCCACCCTGAATTTTTTTATTGAATTTTATGTAATTTAATTGTAATAATATTACCAGGATGAGTTTTAATTGAACTCATATTATAAAATTTGAGTTTTAATTAAAAACAATACTTAGATCCTCACCTAAGTATTGTCCTTTAATTAATATGTGAAAGAAGATAACTATGGTTTTTGTGTGTGAAAAAAAAAAAGAAAACAAAAAAAAAAAGAAAAAGAAAAAAAGGTCACATAACTAATGATAGTCACACCTGGAGCAAGGCCGTTGCCTTGAGGCCCATAGGAGATGGAAAAAATAAAAAAGGGTAAAATACAGTCACACCTCTTGAGATTTGGTAAAAGAACATTCAAATTAAATTTATCTATTTTTTGGACAAAGATACTCCCTTAGGTTCAAAATTGGAAAAGACACCATTTTACATGAGAAATTGACCAAATTACTCTTTAACCGTTTAAGAGACTTTTTTAACTTTGTAATTTAATAAATTGGATCAATCTACCTTCATGAACAATTTATGCATAACCAAAAAAAAAAAAAAAAAATTATTTTTTTTATTTACTTTATAAATGTTTCAACTTCTTAAAAATGTAGACGTCTAAAATGATTTTTTGATCCAATACATATATTTCAAATAAATTATATTTTGTTATTATTTCTTTTCTTTTTCTTTTTTATTTTTAAATTAAGATGTTTCATTTTTTCTTCTAAAAAAATTAAACCAATCTCTTTTCCTTAAAAATAAAAAATATGATACCAGTATAACTTTATGCATTTTAAATTATATATCAAATATTATGCATTTCTCAATATAAAAGGGAAAAATAATAATAATAAAACAAAGGAAAAAAAACAATAAAACAAAGGCATGCATAAAGTTAAGATGCATAAAGTTATACTGGTAAACGTATAATATTTGATATATAATTTAAGATACATAAAGTTATACTGGTACCATATTTTTTATTTTTAAGAAAAAGAGATTGGTTTAATTTTTTTAGATAAAGAGTTAAGTATCTTAATTTAAAAAATATAAAAGAAAAATAAAAGAAGTAATAACAAAATATAATATATTTGAAATATATTTATTGAATCAAAAAATCATTTTAGACGTCTACATTTTTAAAAAGTTGGACATTTATAAAGTAAATAACAAAAAAAAAAAAAAAATGACCAATATAAAGTTTTTTTTTTTTTTTTTTTTTACTTTTTTTTTTATGCATAAATTATTCATGAGGTAGATTGGTTCAATTTATTAAATTGTAAAGTTAAAAAAGTCTCCTAAACAGTCAAAGAATAATTTAGTTAATTTTTTATGTAAAGGGATATATTTATCCATTTTTGAACCTTTAGAGGTATCTTTGTAAAAAAAAAATAAGTAAATTTTGTCTGAGTGTACTTTTGTTAATCCTCATGGGTGGTTGTACTTTACCCAAATAAAAAATAAAAGGGTAAAGTACAAAGAGACCCCCTGAGGTTTGAGGAAAGGACAGACAGATGAAAGTTGGCTTGTTTTTGGACAAACACACCCCCTTGTGAAATTTACCCTCCAAACAGAGCCTTAAATCAAGTGAAAAGTCCATTTTACCCTTCACTATTTTATTAATTTTAATTATAAAATATTTAAAACTTAAATGGCCAAAATACCCTTTTTCATATATACTTATATATATTTACACACACATACACACACACACACACACCAACAACCAGTCACCACCGCCCCCAATCTCCACCAACCCCCAACCTCCATAATCACCACCCACTAAAGAAGACGCCAAAAAGGAGCTCTGCCACTGCCACCTCCTCGACCTCGCCGGAGCTCAGCCTCGGTTCGGGCGGCGAACTCGGCCTTGGACAAGCCGGGTTTGACCGGGATTGACAGAGACGTTCCCCACGCCGGCGTCTTTCATTCTTGACAGCGGTAAAGAGTTGATGTTTGAGCCTGCAGGGAAGATTTGAGGATGAGATCGGTGCCGCCGCCGCCACCACCACCCTCTTCCCCCTCTCTCATACACACGCACACACACACACACATATATATGACCCTCTCATCTGTGCACATCACCATCCCCAATTCTCACCTTTGCACGGAAAAGGGCTCTAATTGGACTCAAAACGGACGGCAGAAGCGATGGCCACTTCAGCCTCCTCGGCCTTGCAGGTGACGGTCGCCGGACTGTGCTTATCTGAACCTTGTCGTCATCGGAGCTTGGTCCTCGCCGGATTGTTTTTGCTCGTCGATCTCTTGTTGCTCGGTTTCTAAACTTCGCCACACTATTCAGTCCGTGGCCGCATCGTCATTGGAGCTTGGTCCTCGCCGGCAATTTCAGGGTTTCGCCGATGCTTCTGGGTTTCGCCGCCACTGTCACAGTCATCGCCGCCACCCCAACTGTCGCAGTCATTGCCGATGCTTTTTCCTCTCTCTCCTCTTCACCTCATCTCTTCAACTATGGCCGCCCCTCTCTTCCCCCTCTCTCTACACCCACCACCGCGGCCACAACCACCATCCATCTGATCTCCCTTCTCCCTTCTCTCTCTTCTGGTGAACTGTATAATATACGCAGGCGGGTTCGGGTTCGGGTTCGGGTTCGGGTTTGGTTTCGGGTTTGGGTTTAATCAAAGGGTATTTAAGTCAATTAAAATGTTAATTTTATTTGAAAGGGTAATAAGGTCAATTTACCATCTTCAGGGTCTCTTTGTCCATTTTTCAAACTTGAAGGGGTGTCATTGTCCAAAAATATGCTAACTTTCCTCTGCTTGTCCTTTCCCCAAACCTCGGGGGGTGTCAATGTACTTTACCCAAAATAAAAATAAGTTAGGGCAAGTTTCAAACGACACAATCTGCCTCGACACTCCGCAAGGCGCAGCCTCCGCCATCGCCTAAGGTGACAAGGTATGTTCATCCTCTCTCTCTCTCTCTCTCTTCTCTCTCCTTTTGCATGAATCGATCTTTTATATATGTTTTTTTCTTTCGTTAATCTCATCATTTGATTTGTTCTAAATTTGGTTCGTTTGATTCGGGCCTTTACCTTTGTTCCAATCGTGAAAAGTAGCTAGGGTTTTGTGTGTGTCACTGTGTGTGATGGCTTTCAAGAGCTGAATGAATATATTGTGGTTCTCTTAGTATTTTAATAAGTGTGTGCCTTTCGACATGTGTCTTTCATGGCGATCGAGTACATAATCTATGGTAGGTACTTTTTTTTTTTTCCCTCTTATGTCCACTCCAATCTCACAACTGCAGCAACCTACCCCTTTTCCTCATAATTTTTTGCATTTTCACATTCAATCCCACGAAACTTAAGGATCCCTTCTAGTGGGTTGAGGTAATAATTAACTTTTTCGATCTCTAAATTATTCCCATACTTAAAAGTGCCAAATTAAGGGTTTTATATTTTGAAGATACATACCACCATTATTGATGTTATTTGAAGTTGGCTCAGCTAGAATTTCAGTTAATAATACTGTCAAAGCACTTGCCATCAGAATGTACAAACACATGGAAATCAAGAGCAGGCTTTAACAAAACAAAAGTTAATGATTTTTTTTTTTCTATTAATTTGCACAAGTCTTCTGTAGCAATGATCCATCAATCACTGCAGGTAATTGGCTCCCAAAAAACACACACACAAAGTGTAGTGTAGTTAATATAAAGAGTGAGAGACACAACTATATATGATAGTGTAGTCACCTCATCTTCACATATGTTTGTCATTTGTAATCATCAAATTTTAGTAGCTATATAAACAATGAATGTAAAAGAAGCTGCAATTTTCTGTTCTCTTCATTTTTTATTTTGTGCTTGTGAAAATTTCGCACTCTTTAATTGATAAATTTATTGTCATTAGTTAGCTGTCTTATGCACACTGCACATACGCACAATTATTTATTGGTGGTGATAAAAATTTATAGTTATTATTAGTTAGTTGTCTTAAGCACACTGCACAACGCACAATTATTTATTGGTGGTGATAGATTTATACTTATTAGTTAGTTGTCTTATGCACACTGTACAGGTGCACAATTATTTGTTGGTGGTGATAAATTTATAGTTATTAGTTAGTTGTCTTATGCACAATGCACAGGGGTACAATTATATTAGCTATAGAATTTGAAAATATCGTGTTAAAATTTCGCACTCTTATAATTCTTTTTTGTGTGTGTGAAACTCAAGGGCCTCACATTTGAAAGTTCGCCTAGGGCCTCTCAAAATATTTGGAATCTCATGGCCGGCCTGAGTCACACCGAATATTTGCAGTGAGTTGCCTAACTGAATATTCGTATTCTATGTCTGTGTCCATACTATATATCTTACTTTTCAAAAGAGGTCAAAAACTAAATCCACGCATGCATATGTAAATAAAGGAATCTTGAAATTGGACCACTGAAAGTTGTTTTGTAGGACTAGGATGCATTTTTGAATGATTTATTTATTTTTTATTCCCTCAAAAGCATCTTCTCGTAAACAAGAGTCACAAAAAAAAATAATAATAATAAATAAATAAAAAATTTACTCCCATCATTCCATTATAAAACATTAAGCAAGGCTTGTCCAACAGCTTCACAACCACAGTATTGATAATCATTCTCATCAAGAAATAATGTCAGACATTTATTTATAATATTGTATCTAAACTCCTGAAGAAGTTGGTTTCCATGGTCAACCAAGAGATCAAACTAGTGCGGGGTGTTGAGAATGAAGTTCACAAACTCGAAAACACGGTTTCCACAATTAGAGCCGTGCTTCTTGATGCAGAGGAGCAGAAAGCCACAAATCATGAGGTTGAAGACTGGCTTGAAAAGCTCTACGATGCATTTTATGATGCTGATGACTTGCTTGACGACTTCTCCACTGAAGATTTTCGGCAACAAGTTACGACTCTGAACAAAAGGCTAGAGAAGGTACGCAATTTCTTGTCATGCTCAAACCCATTCGCTTTCAAAAGTAAGATGGCTCGTGAGATTAAGGCCATTAGGGAGAGACTAGATGAATTGCAGAAGACAAGAAAAAATTTCACCTCACTGAACGGCCTACAGAGAATAGTAAGAGGGAGGAGACTCACTCTTTTGTACATGCCTAAAGTGTTATTGGGAGGGATGCTGGTAAAGAAGAAATGGTAAAACTGGTATTAGACAGTAATGTGGAGGAGAATGTGTCGGTTGTTGCAATTGTTGGCATTGGGGGACTAGGAAAGACCCCACTTGCGCAGTTAGTATACAATGACAAAGAGGTCACTAAATATTTTAAACTTAAGATGTGGGTGTGTGTTTCTGAACCTTTTGATGTGAAACTCATTGTAGAAAAGATCATAGAGTCTGCAACAGGGAAAAAGCCTGAAAATTCTTCGATGGATAAATTGCAAGAAAATCTTAGGAAAAAAATCGACGAAACCAAATATTTACTTGTGTTGGATGATGTGTGGAATGATAATCACAAAAAATGGTTAGAACTGAGAAATTTGTTGATGGGTGGTTCAAGGGAAAGTAAGATATTAGTGACAACCCGTAGTGAATTAGTTGCAAATGTCACAGGTGCAAATTCATCATATGTTTTAAAAGGTTTGTCTTAGGAGGAGTCATGGTCTTTGTTTAAGCAAATGGCATTCAAAAATGTGGAAGGGTTGAAGAATACACATCGAGTCAAAATTGGGGAGGAAATTGCACAAAAGTGTGGAGTTCCTCTTGCCATTAGGGCTGTAGGAAGCCTACTGTACTCCAAAGAAAAGATGATGAATGGTTGTTTTTAAAAAATAATGATTTGTCAAAAATAGCTCAAGAAGAGGGTATTATTTTGCCTATTCTAAAGTTAAGTTACGATCATCTTCCTTCGCATTTGAAGGGATGTTTTGCATTTTGTTTCTTATATGTGAAAGATGAAGAGATTGATAAGAGAGAATTAATCCAATTGTGGATTGCTCATGGATTCATTCAGTCAGGTTATGAAAATCAACAATTAGAGGATGTAGGTAATTTGTATTTTATGGATTTACTGAGGAGATCTCTTTTTCAAGATGTTCAAAAAGATGAATGGGGTGATATAAGAAGTTACAAAATGCATGATCTTGTCCACGACGTTGCAGAATTTGTTGTGAGGCCCAAGAGTTCTGTAGTGAATTCGAATGCGAAAAATATTACTGACAGAACTCGTCACTTGTCATTACATTTATCAGGGGAAAATCCAACCCACTTGTTTAGAGCTCACAAATTACGAACGCTGAGAATGAAGGATGCAAGCAGGTTTGGAATGGATCAAGTTTTTGAAAGGATTGATTCAACATTTAAAAGGTTACGTGTGTTGGATATGCAGAAGATGGAGGTGGTGCCTTGTAATATAAGCATGATGAAACATTTGAGGTTTCTTAGTCTTAGTAATATTGAAATTGAAAGCCTGCCAAGTTCTATAACCAAGTTGAAAAATTTGCAAACCTTAAAACTCTCCGAGTGTTGGCGGCTTAAACAATTGCCTGATTAGATTAAAGAATTGGTTAACCTTAGGCATCTTGAGCTTCGCAAGTGTCGTGCCTTGACTGGAATGCCGCATGTTGACGTGTCTTGTGAGAATTCATATGTGGGACTGTCGCAGATGCAAACATCTTCCACTATTTGGGCAAGTTCCTTCTCTCCAATTTATGAGTCTTTGGAGTATGGAATCCATGGAGTACATGGAGGACAAGAGTAGTAGTAGTGGGAGTGGTAGTGAGGATTCTCTGTGCTCTTCATCTTCATCCAGTGGGAGGAGCAGCACCAACACCAATATTCTTCCCATCCCTCAAAACACTTCAACTCTCGTCTTTGCATAATCTGAAGGGATGGTGGAGGAGCCAAGCAGAAGAAGAAGCAACAACAACTTTACAGGACCAACAACAACAACATTTGAAGAAGCTCCCATCATTTCCTTCTCTTTCCCAATTATCCATCCGATATTGCCCTAATCTGGCATCAATGCCTATTCTGCAACCATGTCTTGAACAACTATTTCTCTTTGACGTCAGCAAGAAGGTAGTAGAAGAAGAGTTAAAGATGACATTGGTGTCCCCAACCCCACCAACAGATACACTGGCAACCTCTTCTTCATCTTCTTCTTTGCTTTTTCCTCCTCTTTCCAATTTAAAGTCTCTGTCTTTATGGAGAATTGAAGATCTAGTTACTCTCCCAGAGGAGTAGTGCCTCACTTCACTTGAAAGCCTTCAAATCCTGGACTGCCAGAATTTGACATCACTGCCTGATGGGATGCATCTTCTCACTGCGTTACAATAACTCACAATTGGATCATGCACCCGTGATTTATATGATAGATGCCAGAAAGAAACGGGGAAAGATTGGCCTAAGATTGCTCACATCCCACGTGTTAATATATGGTAGTGACATACATACAAGGTAAATCCATTCTATTCTTCTCTCTTCTTGTTCAATTTCTCTCTCTCTCTCTTCAAGTTCAACTGATTTTATTTCTTTTCGTTTATAAAAAGATGATACTATTATCTTGTTTTTCCTCTTCGCCTTCTTAGGGAATGCCAAATTCCATTTGTGGATTAGTTAGCTTTATCCGCACATCATTCCATTGGTTTACAGTCTTATTCTTGTTCATATTCAAATTGTTTAATCTCAAAGGGGACACATCTTATTAAATTAAATTATTTTTATCATTTCTATAAACCAGCTTGTGAAATTTTTACCTTTTTCCTACCATGTAACATTATAATTTAAGAAAAAAATTTATTCCAACACAACTGAAAAATGAACGATCATTCTCTTAAATGTTGGAAAAAAATGTGCAAAATTGTGAAAGAAAAAGAAAATTATTAGAATAATTTACTCACGCCGGCCAAGTACTAAATTACTTTCCTTAAAATAAATTTTGCCCTAGTTTTCATGGTATACACTAGGTTATGACAAGTTTGCCTATAAGGAATAATGAAACGAGGTCTGTGCATTACGCACTAAAAATTTCAAGATTATATTCTTTCCATTTAATAGGCAATCCAAGTCTTTTTGCTTGAGTATCATGATGATGCAACAACTAAATGCAGATCTTCATTATATATTGTTTTTGTTTGTGCAACTTCCATCAATGCACATGGTACTATTAAAATTGACATTTACCATTAACTTATTTTTTTCTCAGGAAATATCCAATGTTGAGTTTGTGCATTTGTTCTAGGGCAGCCCAGCTCATGAGCACATAATTGGATTTGCCCAGCTCATGAGCACATAATTGGATTTGTCTTACAGTCTTCTTCTTCTTCTTCATATTTTTGTTGCTTAATCTCAAAGGCGATTAGATTATATTATTTTATCACTTCCATAAACCAGCTTGTGAAATTTTTACAATTTTCCTACCATGTAACAATTCAATTTAAGAAAAAATTCCACCCATCGCATTGTAAAATGAACTATCATTTTCTTAACTACGTCCAGTTTTGCTTGATGCAGGGGCTAGATCACTTTCCTAAAAATAACTTCTGTTCCAGTTTTCATGGTATACATTAAGGTTATAAGATATAATGAAACTAGGTCCATGGACTCTCCCTATTGGCATTACACACTAACAAAAGCGGAACATAATACTGATCAGAAAAATTCCAGGATCATAATACCTGTCATTTAACAGGTAAGCCAAATCTTTTTGCTTGACCAACCAAAATAATAGCTCTGTTTAACATCAATCACGATGATATAACAACAAAATGCAGGTCTTCATTTTTTACTACTTAGTTTCTTCAACTCCCAAGTTCCAAGAGTTAGCTTCGAACATATCTGAAATGCCATGAACTTTTAGCTACATTGAGCAATCCAACTTTAAGCACTATTCACATAGCTCTTTAGTATAGAAATATTTTCCTTTCATATTGATTAGCATAAAGTTTCTGAAAATTTACAGGAAGAAATAGATGTAGAAGCAGCTGCAAAGTAATTGACCAAGGCTGTAGGGATGCCCATTAGCAGTCTAGACAAGATTATGTGTAACAGAGGTGAGTCGGGAAAGAATCTTATACAAATTATCTTCCATTTTTTCTGCCTGCATTTTACTTGAGTGACTTTTCATTAACACCTGCCCCAAATTGATCTCACTAACTGCATTACAACAACTCAAAAGTAAAATTTGTTTCTGACTTGTTATATGATAGATTCCGGAAAGAATCAGGGGAAGACTGACCAATGATTGCTCACATCCCAAATGTTTCTGTTTCACGATCGGGCTGACATACAAGGTAAATCCATCCTTTCGGATATGAGTTTTTTTTATTACCATAAAACTGCATCTTATTCTTCTATCTTTTTGTTCGTTGTTGCTCTCTATATATAAACTACAATTGATTTTATTTATTTATTTATTTTCAGGGAACATGTTCACAGGACTGGGTGGCCGAGTCATTGCTTGAAACAAACAAGATAGGCACAACTCATTCTATGAATTGCAATTACCAAATAGTAATTGTCCTCTCTTCGTATTTCTTTTTTTGCTTGTGCAACTTCTTTGAATGTAGATAAAAGGAGATCATACTTTTGAAATTGTCCTTAAATATTATTTTATTTTTTTTATTTTTCACCTTCTCAAGAAATGTCCAATGTTCAATTTGTACGACTAAACATCAATCTGAAAAACAAAATGCAGTTATTCGTTAATTTCTGCCAGAACTCATGTATGAACAACAGATAAAGGTGTACAATGGGCATGCATCTTCAATGCAGGACTTTAGTTCCATCGCTTGATATAAATTTGTAACTTGTTTTGTTCGATCAGCATATTAATATGAAGTTTATGCAAATTTACAGGAAGAAAGAGGGTGAAAGCAGCCAAAGGGCGATTATAAAAACCATTGAGCATGAGCAGCCACAAAGCAATTGGCCAAGGTACGTTGCCGCCACAAAGCAATTGGCCAAGGTTGTCGGGATAAGTGTTAGTAGTCTAAGACAACATCTCAGAAGAAAGAATCTTATGCACTTACTGGAGTTTTGTTCTCTATCAAGGATCAAGGTTGCAAAACCTGATTCAGATCACTAAACATTTTATTTTACATTTTTCTGCCTTATCATTATCACCATCCTTCCCTTCATCCTGTTTCAACGGGATCGGCCACATGGATTATCTTTTTTTGCCTGCATTATATTTAGAGTTAAGACCTAATTTCTTTCTTCCCGTGTTGCAGGAAGGAAGCAAGAGGGAATATGAGTTGTGAGCATATGTTTAGTGGTAACGGAGACAAGCTGTGTTACTGGGCAATAACAAACAAGTCAAAGATATTAGATTACTTGTAAGACACTTTACCACTTACTAGTGAACATATTGTTTAGAATTGTGCTTTACAACTAATTATTTGGGTTGTCTAGTCCATGGGTCTTCCCTTGTGGGGAAATGATTGATGAACTTGGCGTCATCTTTATGTGCTTATGTGAGTGCTTTTCCTAGTTCTCAAACTAGATTTCTAATATTCAGGGTGGTTGACATTATAAGTTTGCTTCAGGGGGACGGGAGGTAATATGTTCCTTAACACTTTCAGTGATGGGTAGTGTGGAGCCAACCAAGGCCCAACTCCTGAATTTTTTGGAGGGTATTTTGGAATTTCCGCACTTGTTATGTTGCCTTGGTGTGAAGGTATCCATTCTGAACTCTTTGTATCCATTGTTGTTTTGATTATCATAATGAAATCCCTTCAACCCTTGGACATAGCCCTGATTCTTTGGGTGAACCAAGTAAAAATCTGTTTGTACTTATTGTGTGTGTTTGATCTCTTTTATGCGTTTTCTGTTTAATTTCGCAACATTTAGTCCATCCGGCAAAGGCTAGAGAAGTGCATCCAAACCCAACTATGGTTAGTCAAGGACTGGAATACTGTTTTGTGGCTCGAATCTTCGTAAGTGTGCTCAGCAACATTTCCTTGTTACTTTTATTCACGTGGTGCACTTAAACTCTGGAGTTTGCTAATGGTAACAATAATTCTTAAATTGCCTTCATTTTTCCGTCGTTTGACAATTTTAGTGCTTATTCACGCGGTCTTCCATTAGTTAGGTCGTTAGCTAATGCAATATGTGAGACAGTTTTTAGAATAAGTTACCTTATGATGAAACTCATTTGATGAATAATGTTCCATTACAACAACTTAGAATTAAATCACCCATACGTTTCTATATAACTATAACAGTAACATTCAAGCTAAATCCATCATTTATGTTATGAATTCATTGATCACTGTAAAACTCCCATCTTATTCTTCTCTATACTTGTTCATTTTCGCTCTCTCTCTCTCTCTCTCTCTATCGTCTTTTTCTTTTTTTTTTTTGAAGCTCAATTGATTTATTTATTTTGTGTGGGACAATTACACAAAACTGGGTGGATGAATCATTGCTAGAAACAGACAAAGATTGCACATTCCATTCTACAAATTGCAACTACAAGTTAGTAATAATGTGCTCTTGTATTTGTTTCTTTCTTTTCTTCTTCTTATTCATTCTTTTAGAAAGGAGATGATACTATTGAAACTGTTGTTTACCATTATGTTATATTTCCTTTTTAACTTCTCAGGAAAAGTCAGAATTTTCAGTTTCGGCCTGCGTTCTGGGATAGCTTGATCAGCACATCATTGAATTAGTCTGCAGTCTGCTTCTTCTTCATATTCGTATTGCTTAACCTCAAAGTTGAGATCGTATTAGATTAAATACTTTTATCACTTTTTATATGTGAACCAGCTTAAGTGTGAAATTCTTACATTTTTCCTACCATGTAACATTAAAAAAAAAAAATCCAACACAATGAAAAATGAACTATCATTCTCTTAATTGTTGGGCAAAAATTTTTTTTTTGAAAAATTGTGAAAGAGAAAATCACTTCCCTTAAAATAATTGTTTTGTCCAAGAAAATTGCTTGAAACCTTCTGCATCCTTTTAGTGTACCAAGAGAATTGATGATACTGCAGTTTTACCAACATTGCAGTTCAAGGACACGAGGCTGACAACATCGATCTTATGTCTATCCAACGTTTGGAAAATTCAATTCTGTCCTAATCTTATGTTCATTTTACCGAGAAGGGTTCAGATATATCAGAATCTATCCTCCTTCAAAGAACTGATTCAAAAAGTCCAATAGATGGTTATTTTGGTGGTGTTCCGTTCTTACACTGTTCAGCTTCAGTTAGTGCCTTTTTTCGGACCTTTTCTTTCGATATCAGATGGTTCCCAGATTGTTAATGTACTGCTTCTGCTGTTTATTTTGTCTTCTGGGTGCTGTTGTGTAGCTTTTGAGCCTCGTGAGTTTGTTTGGAGCTTTGTACACTTCTGTTTATGAATACAAATATATATATATATATATATATATATATATATATATATATATATATTTGTGTAAGTATATATATATATATATATTCTCCTTCATCGAAAAGAAAAATAAAAAGTAGCCAACATTGGTCAAACATGTAAAATCTTTGTTTAAATTAGGAAACAAGTCAAATCCCGTTAATATTTTGATAGCACAAGTTAATTATATTTAATGAACATATATCACTTTAATTTGTACCTATCTAATGATGTCATTGAATTGGGGATAACCAACATTTCAAATCCAGATAAGTTCATTCTTTACGAGATTGGCTAATTTAACTTGACAGTGCCTGTTGTCTTTCCTCGTAATTTTTTAGGTTTCAATCTTTTTTTTTGGACAGATTGGCTATAATTAGCTAACAATCCCAAAATATGCATACCATGCTTATATATTGTGCTGCATCATGTATGAATATCACCATTACTAAAATTTTAAAAAATTAAAAAATAAATCTATTGCGGAACTAATCAGGGAGGGAACCGAAGCAAGTGGTGCAAACTATTGCTTTGAATGCACCGGAACTCCACCATTAGCGGCAAAGGCCCTGGAAGCCATTAAACCGGGAAGAGGGACTCTGGTACAAATTGGCGTAGGGCCTAAGCCGGCTATGGAGGTCTTGTTTTCGACACTCTTGCAGGGTAGAACTGTGAAGGGTTATTCTTTTGGAGGGATAAAAACCAAGTCTGAATTACCCATTGTTGTAGACGAATGTGCTAACAAGGAGATCAATCAATGAGCTTTTGACTCATGAAATTTCATTGGATGAAATAGACGAAGCATTTGACCTGCTGAAGCAACCAAATTGTGTCAAAGTGCTTATCAAGATCTGAGTGATCTTAGCAACAACTGAACAAATTGTGTAACGCCCCCAAAATTTCGGCATGACTTTTGCTAAAAAAGTTCTACTGCAATCTGTTGCAAAAATATAAGAAATATACAATGGTCTCACTAGGACATTAAAATTTATTTACTCTGTCCCAAAGCACTACAATATAACACATTCCAACATTTTATTCATCCATTCATTATACCCCAACACAGTTCATTTCTTGGTACATCAACCACATACCATCCAATCCAAATGTATCATAAGTACATTCCCAAAACATGATTTAGAGTCCTACCATATACTGAGACATTTTACAAGAGTTACTCCATGCTCATCATTATAATTACAAGGTTTCCAAACACAAAATTATACAGAACATAATTATATCATTACAACGTAAAACTTTGGTTGCAAAAACTAACAAAACGGTCTTTTAATCCAAACTAAGCATGTGGTGGAACGTCGTCCGCCACTTCTTTTCCGTGTCCTGAAAAAAAATGTTTAAGTAATGGGGTGAGCATAAACCTCAATAGAAGTTGCCTACGACATTAGTTTTGGACTCCCTTGAGCCATACAGCACATAAGATAATAGAAAATGGAGCCGAGGTCATGCCATGGGTTCAAATAACATTTCCATTTAACAAGTAATTTTTCCTAGTCACAAGCACAATTTTAGAATTAATGTGCATGAAATGATATGAGATGTGATGTACCTATCCCAAATATGGTCTATACTGACCCAACCCATGCTTTTTAAAAATCCGCTAAATGACTTTACCGAGGTAAGATTGATAACTATTTCCGGGTTCCAAATTCGGCAACCGTTAAAGGGCCTAGTATCAATTTTTTCACGCCCTTCATCGGGCTGCGCTCCCTCTAGGTCAAGCTAGCCCCGGGCTGGCAAAATCCGGTTCATTTAAAAAAAAAAAAAAACTTCCCCTTTTAAATAAGATTTTCCTTTTGTAAAACTTCCTTTCCCAAATCCTTTTCAAAATCTTCTTTTTATGCCATATCATGCAACGTAATGTTTTACATGATCTCAACCATCAAGCTCACCAATTTGGTAATAAAAACATTAACATAACCTTTCTAATCCAACAAGAATGAACAAGATATTCTATAAAAATCTCAATTTAGATCATGGCATGTTTAGAAAATTCAATACAATAAGAACATCATTATCTCAAGTAAGACATATACAAGAAACCTTCTTATGCATGCTCAACATAAAATTATATACACAATAACATGCTCTCAATTAAACATTGACACAATCTTTATACAACAAAATAAATCAGTCCATTTGACACAAACAAAGTTTATATAATCAGGCTTTCACACTTAAAAGACTTTCATAATAACAACAATTTTCATATCAAAATTCACAATTCTCGAGATGAAATAAAAAGAAATAGAAATTTCTCAAATAAAAGGCAAAACTTGATGTATTAGGGAGACTCCTACCTCAATTGGAGATTATGTCAAACAAAGTTTCAAATTCAGCCCAAGAATCCTAGAATTTCAAAATCTCTAGAGTGCACCAAATGATGAATTGCTTGTATTTATACGTAGATCTCGCTGAGCTCTTCGATTTGCCACAAACAACACCCAAAAATTCCAAATGGTTGAAGAGTAATCAAAGATTGAAGTTGTAAAAGAAAAAAGAAAAAGAAAAAAAATTTCAGCGAGAGAAAGAGCTGGTCATGATTCTTAGCCATTACCATTGTAATAATAGCATCTGGGTCCCACTATTTTATTTTATTTTCTTTTATAATAATCTTTAATAACATAAAATTATATATATATACACACACACAATAACTAATTCATCACCACACCAATTAACACATAAACAAATAATCTATGCATAAAAATAATAATGCAAGAAATGCAATGGACCCGTGACACAATCCTCGTACACAACAATCCCGGTAACGGATCCTACTTGGAACCTTTCGGCCTGAAAAACGAAAAATGCCGAAATGGCGACTATTGCATTTCCACGAGCCCTGAACTCAAGGAAATGCCCCAATCAACTCTCTGACATACCCGGCATATTATACGGTGTCCGGCACGTAAAACGAGAAAATACTAAAATACCCTCATAAAACAGAAAAATTCCAAAAAATGAAAAATGGCAAAAATCATAAACATTACACATTGATTGTATAGCATGTATATGAAATATTTGGTAAAGATTTGAATAATTTATGTAGCATTTGCTGAACACATTGATTGTATAAATAAAGTGGAAACATTTTATAGAAAATGTTAAGGATTCAATTACACTTTCTTTAATTGTGTGAATGACCAAACTACACCACAGGAGGCCATGCCAATAGGCTATGCAAGCGAGGTAGATGGAGGCTAAAGTTGTCTTTTTGAGCAATGTGCAGACCAAAATTACCTAAAATCATTCTTTGAAGGAAGCATACATGTTGCATCTGTTAAAGGACTAAACAGTTTCAAGTCTTAAGACATTTAATGCAGTAGCTGTGCTAATTTCCCATAACTACTATAAAAGACATTCAAAAAATCAATCAAAACTTACAGAGTTTCAAAAACAAAATAAAAAATAAACAAAGTGAAAGGCTATTCACATTCCCATTTTTCCCTCTTATATTTAAACATGTCCCAAGTAAAACAATGAAGAAACTAAAAATATTTATTTATAAAGTTTAATTTAATGTAACAAGAACAGAGTGGTTTTTAAATCGTCAGTACCACTATAATTAGGGACAAGTTCTTTAAATAATAAAAACCTGTTCGTCTTCCACTTTATATTTCTCTAGCACCTTTTGCTTCTCCTCAGTGGTTAGAATATCATACTTTGACTCTAAAACATGCTTCGTGACATTGACCAACAAGTCGGTAATCTGGAAAAACCAAGTCATGATATGATGTCGGAACTTAAAATGAAATACACAGTTTCTCAAATGAGAAGAAGATAAATTAGTTCATTTCCCAATTTCCTAAACAGGGATTATAATCAATACAAATTTTCATGTACTTCATAAATATGAATCAAGATGATAGTATGCCTTAGTGATATATTTCATGACCTAAGACTTGAAATCTTTGTAAGACTCAAATTGTGAAATATTAGTTTTTATTTTATAAATTTCAAAACTTAGCACTCTGTGTCAAATTTCATCTTTGCCAATTTAAAAATTTTACGTTCCAAAATGCAGCATCAAGTTACATAAAGCCTGATTCCACAAAAACTAAAGACAAACATGTTTAATTAAGATAAAATCAGCCGTTTCCTAATTTTTGAGAGTTTTCAATTTTCCAATTTCCTATGCAAAAAGTTTGTTGACAGGATTGACCTTACTGTAATTTTTATATTGTTGGTAATTGAAAACATATAACCTTTTGTAAGCTTTATTTTCCTTAAACAGAGCCAACGGGTCCAAAAACTTAATATTTGAAATGGATTCAATCAAGTAATTTTGAAATTTGTATGACAATATAGGGCCTTCAGTTTCAAGCTAGAAGACCAACTGAAGTTGTGTACTGGTTCAGTTTCTCCATAGTCACTGTCTTGGTCAACGTGTCAGCCGGATTCACTATGCCAAGTATCTTCTCAAGTTTCAGCACCCCGTCTTCTAACAACGATCTGATGAAGTG